CAACAAGATGTACCAACATGTCTCCTAAATAAGATGTACCAACATGTCTCCTCACCAAGATGCACCAACATGTCTCCTCACCAAGAAGTAGCAGCATGTCTCTTTAACAAGATGTACCATCATGTCTCCTCAACAAGATGTCAATATGTCTCCTCAACAAGGTGTACCAACATGTCTCCTCAACAAGACGTACGATCATGTCTCCTCAACAAGGTGTACCAACATGTCTCCTCAACAAGATGTACCAACATGTCTCCTCAACAAAATGTACCATCATGTCTCCTCAACAAGATGTCAATATGTCTCCTGAACAAGATGTAACAACATGTTTCCTCAACAAGGTATACCAACATGTCTTCTCAACAAGATGTACCAACATGTCTCCTCAACAAGATGTACCAACATGTCTCCTCAACAAGATGTATCAACATGTCTCCTCAACAAGATGTACCATCATGTCTCCTCAACAAGATGTACCATCATGTCTCCTCAACAAGGTATACCATCATGTCTCCTCAACAAGATGTACCAACATGTCTCCTCAACAAGATGCCCCAACATGTCTCCTCGACAAGATGTATCAACATGTCTCCTCAACAAGATGTCAATATGTCTCCTCAACAAGATGCACCAACATGTCTCCTCAACAAGATGTACCAACATGTCTCCTCAACAAGATGTACCAACATGTCTCCTCAACAAGATGCACCAACATGTCTCCTCAACAAGATGTACCATCATGTCTCCTCAACAAGATGTACCAGCATGTCTCCTCAACAAGATGTACCAACATGTCTCCTCAACAAGACGTACCATCATGTCTCCTCAACAAGATGTACCAGCATGTCTCCTCAACAACATGAACCAACATGTCTCCTCAACAAGATGAACCAACATGTCTCCTCAACAAGATGTACCATCATGTCTCCTTAACAAGATGTACCATCATGTCTCCTCAACAAGATGTACCAGCATGTCTCCTCAACAAGATGTACCAACATGTCTCCTCAACAAGATGTCAATATGTCTCCTCAACAAGATGCACCAACATGTCTCCTCAACAAGATGTACCAGCATGTCTCCTCAACAAGAAGTACCAACATGTCTCCTCAACAAGATGTACCAGCATGTCTCCTCAACAAGAAGTACCAACATGTCTCCTCAACAAGATGTACCAGCATGTCTCCTCAACAAGATGAACCAACATGTCTCCTCAACAAGATGTACCAGCATGTCTCCTCAACAAGAAGTACCAACATGTATCCTCAACAAGGTGTACCATCATGGCTCTTCAACAAGGTGTACCAACATGTCTCCTCAACAAGGTGTACCAACATATCTCCTCAACAAGATGTACCATCATGTCTCCTCAACAAGAAGTACCAACATGTCTCCTCAACAAGATGTACCATCATGTCTCCTCAACAAGAGGTCAATATGTCTCCTCAACAAGATGTACCAACATGTCTCCTCAACAAGATGTCAATATGTCTCCTCAAGAAGATGTACCAACATGTCTCCTCAACAAGGTATACCAACATGTCATCTCAACAAGACGTACCATCATGTCACCTCAACAAGATGTACCAGCATGTCTCCTCAACAACATGAACCAACATGTCTCCTCAACAAGATGAACCAACATGTCTCCTCAACAAGATGTACCATCATGTCTCCTTAACAAGATGTACCAGCATGTCTCCTCAACAAGATGAACCAACATGTCTCCTCAACAAGATGTACCAACATGTCTTCTCAACAAGATGCAGCAACATGTCTCCTCAACAAGATGTACCAGCATGTCTCCTCACCAAGATGTACCAACATGTCTCCTCAACAAGATTTCAATAAGTCTCCTCAACAAGATGCTGCAACATGTCTCCTCAACAAGATGTACCAGCATGTCTCCTCAACAAGAAGTACCAACATGTCTCCTTAACAAGATGTACCAGCATGTCTCCTCAACAAGATGTACCAGCATGTCTCCTCAACAAGAAACCAACATGTCTACTCAACAAGATGTACAATGATGTCTCCTCAACAAAGTGTACCATCATGTCTCCTCAACAAGACGTACCATCATGTCTCCTCAACAAGGTTTACCAACATGTCTCCTCAACAAGATGTACCAACATGTCTCCTCAACAAGATGCACCAACATGTCTCCTCAACAAGATGTACCATCATGTCTCCTCAAGAAGATGTCAATATGTCTCCTCAACAAGAGGTATCAACATGTCTCCTCAACGACGTATGCCAACATGTCTCCTCAACAAGATGTATCAACATGTCTTCTCAACAAGATGTACCAACATGTCTCCTCAACAAGATGTACCAACATGTCTCCTCAACAAGATGTATCAACATGTCTCGTCAACAAGATGTCAATATGTCTCCTCAACAAGATGCACCAACATGTCTCCTAAACAAGATGTACCAGCATGTCTCCTCAACAAGATGTACCAACATGTCTCCTCAACAAGATGTCAATATGTCTCCTCAACAAGATGCACCAACATGTCTCCTCAACAAGGTGTACTAGCATGTCTCCTCAACAAGAAGTACCAACATGTCTCCTCAAGAAGATGTACCAGCATGTCTCCTCAACAAGAAGTACCAACATGTCTCCTCAACAAGATGTATCAACATGTCTCCTCAACAAGATGTCAATATGTCTCCTCAACAAGATGCACCAACATGTCTCCTCAACAAGATATACCAACATGTCTTCTCAACAAGATGTACCAACATGTCTCCTCAACAAGATGCACCAACATGTCTCCTCAACAAGATGTACCAGCATGTCTCCTGAACAAGATGTACCAACATGTCTCCTCAACAAGATTTCAATAAGTCTCCTCAACAAGATGCACCAACATGTCTCCTCAACAAGGTGTACCAGCGTGTCTCCTCAACAAGAAGTACCAACATGTCTTATCAACAAGATGTACCAGCATGTCTCCTCAATAAGAAGTACCAACATGTCTCCTCAAGAAGATGTATCAACATGTCTCCTCAACAAGATGTCAATATGTCTCCTCAACAAGATGCACCAACATGTCTCCTCAACAAGATGTACCAACATGTCTCCTCAACTAGAAGTACCAACATGTCTCCTCAACAAGATGTACCAACATGTGTCCTCACCATGATGCACCAACATGTCTCCTCAAGAAGATGTCAATATGTCTCCTCAAGAAGATGCACCAACATGTCTCCTCAACAAGATGTACCAGCATGTCTCCTCAACAAGAAGTACCAACATGTCTCCTCAACAAGATGTACCAGCATGTCTCCTCAACAAGAAGTACCAACATGTCTCCTCAACAAGATGTATCAACATGTCTCCTCAACAAGATGTCAATATGTCTCCTCAACAAGATGCACCAACATGTCTCCTCAACAAGATGTACCAACATGTCTCCTAAATAAGATGTACCAACATGTCTCCTCACCAAGATGCACCAACATGTCTCCTCACCAAGAAGTAGCAGCATGTCTCTTTAACAAGATGTACCATCATGTCTCCTCAACAAGATGTCAATATGTCTCCTCAACAAGATGTACCAACATGTCTCCTCAACAAGGTATACCAACATGTCTTCTCAACAAGATGTACCAACATGTCTCCTCAACAAGATGTACCAGCATGTCTCCTCAACAAGATGAACCAACATGTCTCCTCAACAAGATGTACCAACATGTCTCCTCAACAAGATGTACCAACATGTCTCCTCAACAAGACGTATCTCTTCGTCCATTGGTCGATGTTAATACATCCCATCGTGAAGTATTACAGAGCATATCATCTTCCCGAGGCAAGGGCGTTAATTGACCATAAGTCCAGTGTTCTTACTTGCCGAACTAGGCTGGAATTTCCAGGCTCAATCGTAGTGTCACCAGTGGCTATTACTACTTATGTCCCTTCTGTGTCCCTTTCTATTGACCAATCAGATTTCATCTCTCACATCACTTGCTTCGAACAAAATGGCAGCGCCCAGTCAAGACGATCCGAGCGATAATCAAGATTTGCAAAGTACCTGTCGACGCACAGGTGCCAAAATCTGCCATTGAAATTCATATTGCTGACGACCAGATGTTTAGTTCGTTACGCTATTTCTGTTGGACTATGCATAGACTTGTTAGTCCAACCCAAATGTAACTCCGGATTTCCAGCCTAGTTCGGCAAGGGTGGAAACCGGACTTTTAGTCAGTTATCTCCCTTGCCTCGGGAGGATTAGAGCATGTACGTATAATTCAACTTTCATGGAAAGGCACATTTTGCTTACATCAAAGCTCTCCAGTCAAGGTTTCACCATCAACGGCCTGATCATTCTAGAAATTTGACGGTAGTCATTCAGAGGAATTTAATTAATATGAAACGTTGCTTGACAACATGATGCGTGATGCACACCACACCCCATGCATCTCACCATTCACCTCGTACATCTCACCTCACCCCATCCATCTCACCATCCACTTCGTAATTTACCCTCACCCTATGCATCTCACAATTCAATTCGTACATCTCACCTCACCCCATCCATCTCACCATCCACTTCGTAATTTACCCTCACCCCATGCATCTCACCATTCACCTCTTACATCTCACCTCACCCCATCCATCTCACCATCCACTTTGTAATATACCCTCACCCCATGCATCTCACCATTCACCTCGTACATCTCACCTCACCCCATCCATCTCACCATCCACTTCGTAATTTACCCACACCCCGTGCATCTCACCATCAACCCTAAATAAGTTCACCCGCCAATCGCCAACTCTACCAGAACGTCTCGCTTGTCCTCCTCAACCTTACCCTCCAACCAACCATCACCCAGAATAGGTACACCGACAATCGTCCTCTGTGCGCCCCAAACCGCTCCAGCCCTCATTGCTAAAACACGACTATTCTGACGTACCTGTGTAAAGCCAGAGTTCGATATATCGATCACGCCTCTCCCTTCCCTGTCGGCGTCTCTGTCAACAGCGTCAG